CCTCGCACAGCTTCCTTGCTCCCCACAGACCCCACCCCAGGGACCCGCGGCCGCCAGCCCCGCCACTGAGCACCCAAGACCCCAGTCCATCCCCCCGGAGCTCCCATTGCTTTGGGTGCCGAGTAGAAAGCGGCCCCTCCACACACCTCCCCCACCGGCGGCGGCCCACAGACCCGGAGCCGCGTGCCCCTAACCCCCAGGGTCCTCGCCCCACATGGCCACCACGCGGACCAGTGGACAAGGGAGATCCTGGCGAGGGTCGGCACCTGTGATAACCTGTCAGCCCCAGGTGATAACAGCGCCTGGGCCTCCCCTGGCCGCCTCCCACAGACCCAGGGAAGCGCCCGCCCATCGGCGCTGTGTACGCCTCTTCTCTCTCACACTCAAGCCCTGGCTACAGCTGTAGTGCCCGAAATAGGGGGTCTCCAGCCTCATGATCCCTAGACGTCCCGGGCTTCTGAGGGTGAGCTCACTAGGCTGCAGATATAGCAGGGCGATACTTGTGGAAGTGTGTGGATATAGATAAACGGAGATAGGCCGCAAGCACGAGTCTTTCAGTGAAGTCTAGGCATGAAGGGTGTTCCTTCATCACCGGGCTTTGCCTTGGTTGGGAAGAGGGTCGCACTTTTGGAATCTGCACGGTCGCGGGCACCTGAGCTGCCTTCATGTGCAGACTCCACATCACTGTTCAGGGCGGGTCTGTCCCGAAACAGGAGGGGACAATTCTCCTCCACAACAGACATGTCGTTTTTGGTCATTGGCATCATCAGCTTCGGAGAACCACACCTCTCTGTGATCTTGACAAAGAGCGTCCATCGTGGTGTCCCCACCAGCCTCCAGGTCCTCACCCCACCACCAGCACCACACACGCACACAGCGGGAGGCCCCCCAGCTAGACGGCCCCCATCATACTCTCTGACGGACGCAGCGGATTCAACGACCACCGAGGCAGGGCCAATCAGAGCCCTTCCAAGAAATTTCTAGAAGAGAAATTCTAGAAAGAAGACAAGACCTCTTTTCTATGGAAAAGACAAGACCTCTTTTCTATGGCTTAAAAGCCCAAGAATTCAGGCTGCAAACTGCTTGAAAGTCAGCTTTCTCAGCACATGGGATGAAGCTGACCCAGACAGAAAAGAGCTAGAAACGAGGAGAGAGAGAGAGAAAGAACCCCGACAAAGTCGCGTGAGTGTCTGGGTTCTCGCCATGACTCAAGCGAGGTCTACCGCTGGACCTTCCAGTCACATGAGCCAATAAGTCCTTTTTTGCTTAACATAGTTAAGTAGAGGTTCCTCATACAATCAGGTGAGTCCTGACTGATTCACTTGGCCAGGAACACGGGGTGGGGTGGGGCGGGAGGGAACTCGTCCACCCTTGGTGCTTCGGGCAGAGAGGAGGGTAGAGCAGGAGGGGATGTAGACATCCTCATCCTCACACCTTGCTCACATTCCCACAACTGCTGTGCAATTTCACCCCAGCACAACCTGCTGCTACAACAGATCCCATTAGCAGTAGCACAGCCCCCAAACCCCACCTTTGTAGGAGAATTTCCTTTCCCAGCTGCACTCAAAGCCCTTGTGAGCATCAAAGCTCGCAATGACGCTGTCATAGTCAAACCCCTAGAATTCCTGCTGGGGGAGGGGAGGGGGTGAGGCGGGGAGGGAGCACACAGAAATAATCAGACTAAACATCAACAATACGAATCACGACATTCTGGGAGGTCTCGATCTCCTCACTGGAGACTTACCTTCCAGAACACAACCTAAATGTTTTATGCAGAAATGTGAACCTGCACCAAAATCGGGACACCAGCCTTATCTCTCTGACCCATGAACACAGGATTTCCTTTTTTAATTTTTTTTAAATTTATTTATGATAGTCACACACACACGAGAGAGAGAGAGAGAGAGAGAGAGAGAGAGAGGCAGAGACATAGGCAGAGGGAGAAGCAGGCTCCATGCACCGGGAGCCCGACGTGGGATTTGATCCCGGGTCTCCAGGATCACGCCCTGGGCCAAAGGCAGGCGCTAAACCGCTGTACCACCCAGGGATCCCAACACAGGGTTCCCTAAGCACGTTCTAGCTTCTCCTATTCTCTACAATTCTGCAGAAAGGCAACGGGGCGTAGAGCAGAACGGTGTTCCTTGGCCTTAATGGACTCCTGGTGCGAACGTGCTTTGCAGTATTAGTGCCAGCTTCATGGCCGTTCTGCCCTAATTAACTCTTGGCGATGTTGTGAAAAATCAATCGCCGTCATTTGTGAAAATTCACCGAAAACCATTCAGGACTAAGCAAGAGTTGTATTTTATTCATGAGCTCAGATAATCAATGATGGGCCAGGCCTCCTTTGCCTCGCATCAGCATCACTATTACCCTTTCCCCAGGTCTGGCATGGCCTCCAGCCTGTCTTCCCCTGACCCCAACTCTACTAACCGCACCCTTCCCAAACCACATTCTGACTCCTCCCTCTCGATTCCACCAGAACGCATCATGAAGCACTTTGAAAAGAGAGACCATGGACCAAAGCTCTCGACCTGTCCATGAGGGATCAGGGGGCACAGAGGCCACTCACTCAGCGGCTTGGTCAGATGACAACGTGGGTTTTCCAAGCCTCCCTCCAGAATCCTTTGCAACCCGCCAGGCCCCTGATACTCAAAGAGCATCCGAGGTGTGGAAGGATCTGTGCACACTTTCCAGCCCACCCCCCCAGCCTCTCGGTTCCTATAGGAGCGGCGACCTCGCAGTCCCCCGGCTAGCAGGGCACCCCACATGTGCTCACTGTGTTCTCCGAGAGCCTGAGCACATCTATGTCAGCAGACAAAACCTCTTAAGTCCTGAAACGGATGCACTTAGCAAAATTGCAGGTCATATATCCCTTCATAACACAAAGGGTCCATCTCACTGCAGATTCATTTTCTTGGTCTCCACACAAGCTTCTTTTTCTGTTCTGTTTTTTAATTAATTTATTTTTTTTCCAAATGCACTTTGCTTAAGGAAGAGGTCCCATGCGGTCTCCTAGTTAGGGAGAGAGATAATAAAGAAATTTAAGACCGCTTTCCCTTTTTAGGCTATATATTCTGTTTAATAAGGGCATTATTATGAGGACTTATTAATTCATCCTCTACTAATTCTGCTTAAGAAATGTAAAAGGTGATATCTGCTTTTATCCTCCTTCTCCTCTATTTTCCTGAGCTGAGTATGCATTTCTTTGCCTTTAGACTGAGAATTTTCAGGGGAATGAACAGTTAAACAATCAGCTCAGATTCGCTCCCCGTACGTGTCAGTAGTTATCTTCCTCTGCCGGGTGAGCCATTGTCAAAATTCTGAAACCACACACATCCGACTATAGCAATGTAGCTCTTGGAGCTTTCAAAAGCTTCCCTAAAAATTCTTGTAAGTTAAAATAAGTGCAGCCATCCTTCCTCACAATGGTCCTTCCTGAAGAATCCCTTCCGATTACGGGTGCTGCCTTTGGGAGACCACATGGCACTTACCTGGACCCGACTCAGACGCAACAGGTAAATCCTCTCCGCGCCAACGGCCTGGAAGCCACACACAAAGACTTCCCACGCAACAACTCCCTCTTTCACTGAAGGCTTTCCCAGCCTAGCATACAAAGCTAATTGTCACAGGGGTTACACATTACAGCTAAATCATCCCGTAATTACGAGTTCTCTAGTGGGACTTGGTGAGAGAGGATCAGTCCTAACACATATATTTTTAAGAGTAAAAAAAAAAAAAATTCCTTAACGTTAAATCGCTAAAACATTTAACCATTGTTTCCGCTTAATGAAAACATTATTTTCTGTTCAGGACTCCTATTCTTCACCTAGGCCGTTTGGAAAAGCTGACACCACATGCAGATACGCTTCTGTACCAGTGAACAGCAGTGGGAAAACCAAAGTTTCAAAATGCAACCCCTTTTTCACCAAACGGTAATATGTTCTAGCATCAGCAGCCCCAACACGAACGGAAGGTCATTTGATAACAAGTGTTTCTACGATGCAAGGCCTGCCCAACCAGCTATGTCAACAGCTGTTACAGGGGCTGCTAATATTCTCGCCCGAAGCCCTCCGGCCTCGCGTGGGAACTTGGCTGGACTGTAAAGCCCCGAAGGCGGCCGCGCTCACGGCCAAGGGCAGCTGTCCACTCCACTCCTGCAAGGTCCTCGGTCGTCCACAGCGGCCCCCGAGCCTCTCCAGAGGAAACCACGAGGTCAAGGGACGCTTGAACGCAACGTATTCGGGGCTGAAGCGGCCGACGAGGGGCCCTGGGGTGCACGCGGGGGGCGAACTGCGCGCGCACCCGGCTCGTCCCCAGGCCCGGCCGTAGGACGACACAGGGGGGTGCAGAGCTGAGCCCGCCCGCGTAGGTGCCAGCGGCGCGGCTCCGGGCAGCGGGCTCCAGGGGCCGCGCTCCGGGCACAGCGCTCTGGGCACCGCGCTCCGGGGGCCGCGCTCCAGGGGGCCGCGCTCAGGGCTCCGCGCTCAGGGCACCGCGCTCCGGGCTCCGCGCTCTGGGGGCCGCGCTCCGGGCACATCGCTCCAGCGGGCCGCGCTCCGGGCACCGCGCTCCGGGCACCGCGCTCCAGGGGCCGCGCTCCGGGCACCGCGCTCCGGGCTCCGCGCTCTGGGGGCCGCGCTCCGGGCACCGCGCTCTGGGGAACCGCGCTCCGGGCACCGCGCTCAGGGTTCCGCGCTCCGGGCTCCGCGCTCCGGAGACCGCACTGCCCGCTGCCGCCGGGCTCTGCCGAGGACGAGGCCGCGGACGCCCTCGCGGAGCGCGCCGACCCGGGGCCGAGACAAAGGAGGGTGTAGTCGGGGCCGCGGCGGGCTCCGGGCTCCCCCACCCCCACCCCCCGTGGGCCGGGGTCCCACGCCAGCGGCGGACCCGCTTTGCGCCCCAAACTTCGGGCGGCCGCGGCGGGGGCGCGGGAAGGAGCGGCCCCCCCTGCCCGCCCGCCCGCCTCCCCCCTGCCCTGCCCTGCCCTGCCCTGCCCTCACCTGTGCGGGGCGCGCGGCCGCGGGGCTCCGGCGGGCTCCCTCCCGGGACGGTCAGCGCGGGAGCAGTCGGGGCGTCGGGCGCCTCGGGAGGCGGGCGGGGGCGGGGCGGGGCGGGAGGGGGGGCGTCCGCGGGAATCTCGGAGCCGCCGGCTCCCTCCCGCCCCGGCGCGGCCACCGCGGCCGGATGAGTCAGGCGAGGGGGCGGGCGGCGGGGGCGGCGGGGACCGGCGGGGGGAGGGGAAGAGGGCCGGGGGGCGGGGTCCAGGGGGAGGGCGTCCGGGTCCTGGGTCCGGGATCGGGGGGGCGGGGGTCCGGGTCCGGGGTCCGGGGGGCCGGGGGTCCGGGGTCCGGGCTCGGGGTCCGGGGGCGGTGAGCCAGGCGCCCTACCTGGGCGGGGTGGGGGGGTGGGGGGTTGCGCCACGGAGCGCTGGGAGCGCGGGCGCCTGTGCCCTGGAGGTCAGCGGCCGCGGGGTCGTCGCCGCCCGCGAGGAAGACAAAAGGGCCCCGGGGGCTGCGGGGAAAAGTTTTCCGCGCGGCTCCAGCCGGACCCGGCGAAGCACCCGCCCGAGCGCCGGCGAGGCGGGAGCGGGGGGCGGGCTTCCAGGAGCGTCACCGCGCGCTGGGGACCCGGGTCCGGCCGGTGTCGCCGCCGCGCGGCCCCCGCCGCCGCCCCCTCCCCCCCCGCCCCGGGGCGTCCCCTCCCCGCCCCCTCCCCGCCCCTCCCGGGCCCCGCAGCCCCCGCCCGTCCCCCGTTCCACTCGCGGCTCCGCGGGCAGAGCCTGGCGGTGGGGACGCAGGAGCCGCGCGGAAGCGCCTCTCGGGGCCGGAGACCGCGCGACACGGACACACCCACCGGAGGGGCGCGCCGCCGCCTGCGCCGGGCCGGGGTCCCGAGCAGAGGAGCTGCAGGGCGCCCCCGCGACCCCCGCCTCCCGGGAGCGGGCGCCCGGCCCACGCCCCTCGGACCCGCCTCGGCGCCGCGTAGGGGAGGGGAGGGGAAGGGGGGAGGGGAGGGGAGGGGGCGAGGGGGAGGGAGAAGGGGCGGGGAGCGGAGGGGAGAGGCGGGGAGGGGAAGGGATGGGACGAGGAGGGAGGGTACGGGGGAGGGGGCGAGAGGGGGGGAGAGGGCGGGGAGCGGAGGGGAGGGGCTTAGAGGGGAGGGGAGATGCGGAGAGGGGAGGCGATGGGACGAGGAGTGGAGGGTACAGGAAAGGGAGGGGGCGGGAGGGGAGGGAGAAGGGGAGGGGAGGGGCAGAGACGGGAGGGGAGGGGAGGGGCGGGGAAGGAGGGGAGGGGGCGGGAGGGTACAGGGAGGGGAGGGGGCAGGAGGAGGGGAGAAGGGGCGGGGAGCGGAGGGGAGGGGCGAAGAGGGGAGGCGATGGGACGAGGAGTGGAGGGTACAGGAAAGGGAGGGGGAGGGGGCGGGAGGGAAGGGGGAAGGGGCGTGGAGGGGAGGGGCGGGGAGAGAAGGGGACGGGCGGGGGCGGAGACGGAAAGGGAGGGGCGGGGGCGGGGAAGGAGGGGCGGGGGCCCCCTGGCGGGCTGCGCGGGCGCTGCGGGGGCTGAGCGGAGCCCGGTCTACACCGCGGGAGCCGGCAGTGGTGGTCCTCCCGGAAGGAGCCCCGAGAGAGGCGTGGGGGCGGGAGCAGGGGGTCGCGGGGAACCCGGGCGGCAGCCACGTGCGGTCGCGCGGCTGAGGCGGGCTGTGGCCTGACCACGTGGGGCCACCGCAATGATAGATAAAGTCTTGTCTACACCCGCGGATTCCCAGTCCGGCCGCGACGCCGACGCGTGCCGCCGACGCGTGCCGATCGCATCAGGCCCGCGAGGAGGGGGCTACACCCGCGGACCTCCCGAGTGTACCTGGGGTGAAGGGCACTCGGATGACAGGTGCTCGTGTCCTGGGGACAGGAAGGCGGGGGGGGGGGGGCTGCCGTGCAAGGCCGCACATTGTGGAATTCGGACACGACCCGGCAATGAGAACACACCGTGGAAATGGGTTTCCTGGGGTTCAGTCCTCCTGCCTTAACTAGGAGAATTTGGAGATTCGGCATTTTTAGTTAAAAAAAAAATCTCACCATCAAAATGTTAAAAAAAATACTAAACTAAAAAAAAGCGGGGAGGTAGGTGAAGAAATAAGTCACACTAATACACCATCTGTGGTCCTATTTTTACCCCCCCCCCCCATCTAGTACTGGTTAGGCCACCGCCACTTGCCTAGTTCTCTTGGTTTCTGGACACTCCACTGAGGACTGTGATTCTACTGGGACTTTCCTCTAGTTGTAGCTCTCTATATTTATAAAACCACATTTTTCTATAAAGCTCCGGAGAGGAGCCATCGTCTGGTCATGTTCACTAGGTTTCCAGAGAATAACAGGTTCCCACTGTCCATAGAGATCATCAGATATGACATTGCGTCTAATACAAGTGGGGAGACATTTAAAACGGCCATCTCACCACCCTACAGGTCAGATGAGTGAGACTTTCTCAAAGAGGATGTGACAAGGGCCATGAAAGAACAAATAATCCCATTCTATGTTGATGGTCCCTCATTTCTGAAGTTAGATTTCAGTGATTCCTGCAACAAGGAGCAGCAGCAGAAAGGGACCACGTGAGACCACCCAAAGGGAATTATTTACATTTCCTTTAAAAATACTATTTTTAAAGCTGAACTTAAAAAAAATTTAAAAAAATAAAAATACTTATTATTTGTCTCAGAAAAGACCAAGGTAAGATGTCCTATAAATAGAGGACTGTCTGCAATCCAGTAGACCAAGCAACTCCCAGGATATTCATCATAAATTCTTTCCTGGCATTGAGTGCTCAAGGCAAGCCCATGTTAATTATTTAATCTTTGCTAATGGCCAGTGTCTGTCCATCTGAAAAAAGCCCAGTGAGGATAACACTACTGGTAATGGATTTTGAATTTAGCTCCAAATCTTCTTTTGAAGTAGCGGTTGGGGCCTCTCACCGCCAGCCTGCACTGCACTTCACACACACCATCCTTGCCCCGTCCTTACGAGATTGGTGAATTGGCACTAGAACAAGCCCATCTTATGAGAGCATCCTGAGAAGACAGCACGCATCTCTGTGGTTCAAGCTCACCTATCTACAAACATTACTGGCAGAGGAACTTTGAACCTCATTTCATTCCTTAAGTAGGAACAAAGGACCTATTTCAAAGTGTTTCTGTGCAAATCGAATGGAACGACACATATAAGACACTTCTCCCCCATGACATAGATTGGTAATACATATTGAAACACGCACACACCCCAAACTTGCTTTAAAGTAAAAAAAAAAAAATTCTTCCTTTAGAATCAAGAAATAACTTGAGAAAAAAATTTGAAATATGAAGATCTAAATTTTCGCTCCTGGTATCTATAAATGTAAGCCCAATGGGTGGCAACACATTTTTAGCAAATTCGCTTTGGAAATACACATTGGAATAAAAAGAATAAGTATGTTAAGTAGATCATGTAACAAGGCTAAGGGAAGGCCTGTCACAAAGTAAGTTTCTGTGTGATTATGCCCATATTCATTTGCCATAAATGTAGCCATAGCATCTCCAGACCTGAGAAGAGGTCGTCAATCAAAAACTGAAAAAATATCTTCAATGGAAAACAAATGCAATTGCTTGCTAGATTTTTATCTGAATTGTTTTGCTCCAGCTGTGAAATAGATTGATAGTCTTAAGGCCCCAAGATGTCTCTGCTGGAAGCCATGATTGCTGTTTCAAAATACGGGGTAAAAAAGGACAAAGTCAATTAAAGAAAATGATCTATGTGATTTTATCTTTAAAATTTGAAATGAGGTAGTGACGCCCGGGTGGCTCAGGGGTTGAGCGGCTGCCTTCGGCTCAGGGCGTGACCCCGGGGTCCTGGGATCGAGTCCCACATCCGGCTCCCTGCATGGAGCCTGCTTCTCCCTCTGCCTGTGTCTCTGCCTCTCTCTCTCTCTCTCTCTGTGTCTCTCATGAATGAATACATAAATAAGTAAATCTTAAAAACATGAACCTCAAATAATTTTTAAAGAGTAAGATAAAATTTGGGACTAGGTAGAAGGAATACAGGGGAAAGGAAAATAGAAATACATTTATAAGTAAATTTGTAATGTCATTTTATTTCCCTGTGATTCTGAATAGCATTCAGCCATATTTTTAATATTTCTTTCTCATTATGTGAAATTGACTAATAGTCCAGTATATTTAGCAGCAGAAAGATGTTGCTAATTTCCTTTCATTAAACATTCAAGTGAGAGTACTAACCCTTCTCAAAAAAGAGGTTTTATAACTTTGCAGCTGATACTACTACCTAAATATTTTATAAATTCTGTATTAACCTCCTTATTTGATGAGACACCTGATGATTAGATTACTTTTACCCGAGGAGCACTAGCAGTATACCTTCTAAAAATACAAAGCGGGGGGGGGGGTACCCGGTTTTCTTCTAACGCCCTAATTCTTTCCTCTGAACAGCTTCGTACTTATAGGTGCGGAGGATTGCTTCATGGCCACTGGCAGTCCAGGAAGTACTTTCTCAGAAAGTTCCTGACTGTTTTGTTACCAGAATCTACCCACAAAAGATAATTAGGCATTTGACCCAAGTAGTGGAGACGGGGGTGAGGGAGGCACCTGCTCCACTGTCCGTGGTACTGAACCGGAGGGCGGCCGGGCCTGGCTGCTCCAAGCGTGGTTTGGGGACGGAAACCTTCCACGGCCATGTTGTTGGAAGAGCAGGATCTCAGGCTTCAGCCACAACCCACGGGGTCAGACTCTGCAGTTACAACATCCTCAAGTGATTACTCGGCGTGTTACAATTTGAGAAGCTGTCCTGCCCAAGGACACCGTTTACTTGCTTTTATCCCAGCTCATTTCAGTCTCTCCCCGAGGCGCACCCGCATGCCGCAGCGTGGCTGCTTTACTTGGTGATGGTGGTGCGGTGTTAGAGGGATAGCAAGGCTCTCGAATCAGACAACTCGTTTCCACATCTCAAACTGGTTTTCACATCTCCTCACCCATAAAGTGTCAATGGTTACGATATGTCCCTATAATGCCGTTTCAAGGATCCAATGAGAATAAA